TAGAAAAATTGCACTAGGGTTTATTACTTGAGTAATGTCAAAGCCATTATGAGCATCCTATGCGTTCATGTGTTGCAATCTCCTTTAAATAAATTTTACCTTTTGTGTGCCATAATACAGTTTAAAACCGGTAGAATATATACATTGGATGAAAAAGATATATACACGGGATAAAGAAATATACAATCAGGCTAGTGGGAGAAAACCACCATTGTTAATAGCTTGCTTTAGGGTCTGCATTTCTCCCATAAACTCCCAAGTGTAGAGGGGAGAATGGGCGTAGGTGTCTATCTCTGCAATGAGCGCCTGTCACCCTCAACATTTGCTGAATGTACCGGATGCACAGATTTTTGATGCTGTTTCTTTCTGGGTCAAAGCAGAATTTTGTCTAAAACTGAATGCATTTTGGGTTGTGGGTTGAACTAATCGACAGAGATATTTTACTGATATATTTTGCATTTTATTTTACTCAATTTTATTGTATTGTGTACTATGATAATATTCAATGATTTTTTTTGTGTTAGCGTGTTCATGTGTTTTAGTGTGTGTGTTAGTGCATGTATATGGATGTATGCATGGCTATGTGTGTATGGGGGCATATGTAGGTGTGTGTAGGTGTTAGTGTGCGTGTATGGGTGCATGTGTGTATGCTGGTGTATGTGTGTTTCAATGCTTGCGAAGGCTACAGATTAAAGCCTGTTGTCTTCCTCTATCACTTTTCCACCTTATTTTTTGAGACAGGGTCTGCCATTGCCGATCCAGTGGATCTGTCTGACCAGTGAGCTCCAGGGATCCTTCTGCTTCCGCCTCCATAGCACTGGTGTTCCAGGCATGTGCCGCCATGTCTGTTTTTCATAGATTTGCTGGCAAACAAACTCAGGTCCTCGTGTTTATAGAACAAGCACTTACCTGGCTGAGTGCTCACCGCCCCTTGACTGATTTGCATCAGGGTTATTAGAGAATGCTTTACTTGTAGATGAGTCTGTAGGGAGCGAAGAGGCGAGCACAACAGCTGTGCTGTTCTTTTCCACCTTCTGAGACAGGTGGGAAGAGGGTAGGAGACTGGGGGGCTGACCAGGGAGACGGAGCAAGGGGCAAAGAAGTGTGCTGGGCTGCCGCAGCACTGGAGGACCAGGGACCAAGAGGGCACGAGAAGGAGATTCACAGAAAGTGAGAGAAAAGTAGAGGTGACGCCTCATTCTGAACAGCGCTGGCTACCAGCCATGAAAGGGAAGAACACACCTCTCTTTTCACACCGCAGCTTCTTTGCAATGCAAACCCATCTATCTTCATGGGCTACACGCCTTTCCCCGGGTCTCTCTTTTATCTACTCCTAACTTCCCACGTGGGGTAAAATCTCTTCATGGACAGAAGCATTCAGTGCAATGCATCTGAATGGCGTTCATGTTTCCCACATAGCTTGTAAAAAGGATTACGCTTAGTGTTTGAGACACAACAGCACATGGTGTATATGTGTATACAGACTTAGCAAATCTTAGCAGAAATGTAGGGAGCTGAGGAAGTTGCAGGCCCCCTGCTTTCCATATCAGGATTTTTTTTTCTGGTGTTCTGATCTGCTGCTTTCTAGTACCTGTTTAGAAACCGTGTTCCAGAGAGTTCTCCAGGGAGGCCCAGGGAGGAGGTAAGCAAGGACTACAGTAACCAGATACTCTAATTTTACGAAGAAACAAGTTCAGGGAAGTATGTTCATGACGCTTTATCTGAGACACGGAACCGTCTGCTTCCTACCGCACTGCTGTCACAATACAGCCGTCGGTCGTGCAGATTTATGCTGGACCTCTGCAGAAGAGGCCTGTATAGACCAGAGCTGAGTCTCCACATCTCAGGACAGGATCAGTGCACAGTAAGTCTGGCTGAGATGAGTCAGTGCTGGTCCCAGCAGAGCTGCACTCAGGGACACAGTGTATGGCCTTGTTTTGTGTTAAACTGGGCTGCTTGTTTAGTGTTAAGAACAAAATTGCTGGGTGGTGGTGGCGCACACCTTTAATCCCAGCGCCCAGGAGGCAGAGTCAGGTGATCTCTGTGAATTCGAGGCCATCCTGGTCTACAGAGTGACAGCCAGAAGCACACAAAGAAACCTTGTCTCAAAAAACCAAAACAAAAAGCTCAAAGTGATGCTTGGGGCATTTTTCTTATTTGCCAGTATCAAGTAACCAAAAATAACTATTACATTTTATAGCCAGACATTATTTTTTAAAAACAGGCTAGAATATTTAAGAATAGTAACTTTATGTTTTATAGGTTAAATTTTCAGTGATAAATACCTTAAAGAACCATAGAGAGTATTAGGTCTAGAGCAGTGGTTCTCAGCTTTCCTAACGCTGTGACCCTTAATACCTTCATGTTGTGGTGACCCCAACCATAACATTATTTCATTGCTACTTCATAACTGTGATTTTGCTACTTCTATGAATCACAATGTAAGTGTTCTGGAGACAGAGGTTTGCCAAAGGGGTCAGAAGCTGACAACTGCCGCCGTACAGTTCTAGGAAATGAGGATATTCAGTTTCTTCCCTTCTTCCCCTCTCTCTTTTCTTTTCTCGGCTTTTTGAGACACGGTTTCTCTGTGTAGCCCTGACTATCCTGGAATTCATTTTGTAGATGAGGCTGGTCTCGAACTCACAGAGATCTGCCTGCCTATGCCTCCTGAGTGCTGGGATTAAAGGTGTGTCTCATCACCGCCTGGACAGTTTCTTCATTTCTTACATATAACATTTCCCCCAAATTTTATGTTTACCTTCGAAATTCTTTATAATGAAGCTTTTTTTCTCCCTTTTTCCCAAAGAAACGCACTTGAAGGGTTGTGTTAATCCCAGGCTCTTTCACTGCTGGTTCCTATAAAGAAGCACAGAAAGAAACCTGTGAGTGGGAGCTTGGGGAAATGTCCGCGAGTGTGTCCTGTAGGTCGTGAAGGCAATGAGGGCAGTCACTCCTGCCTACGACCTTGGCTAACAGGACTCCCCCCAACTTCCACTAACCTCCTCTGTGATGAAACTCTACAGAAACTAAGAACAGAAGGGACACGCCCTAAGAGGACAAACCTACAGTTGAAACTGGGGAAGTTGAAAGTCTAGAGGGTCCAGGGTGGGACTCCTCACTCACATTCAGTACAGCTGGGTTACAGGTGCGTGCTGCCACGCTGCACTAGTGGGCCAAGTTCCTCCTAGCGCTCCTTGAAGTGCTCTGACACTGCCACCCAGAGGCTCTCTGCAGCCCACACCACACTGGCCTGGAGTCCAGTGCCCAGTGATCCTTCCAGCTCCACCCTACTCTGCTGTCCTCACTGCCAACTTCTCCCTGCACAGAGTGGCAGTCCAGACCGGGCCACTGCTGAACTACAGCCAGCAGCACAGACTTACTTTTCTCCAGAACCTTCTGTCTAAAACAGGGGCTGCGTAACTCAAACAACTGGAGGCCTGCAGCTCCCGGGCACTCTTGGCAAAGGCCTCATCTGCCCCGGGCCCACAGACACCATTATCTGTGTCTATTCCACTCAGTTGGCTATGACTAGAAGTTTTTATTTTTAGATTCAGATTTCCACAGTCCTAAGGTTCTACATATCTAGTGAAGCATAGGGTGTCTGCCTCAGGATTACAGAACGAGGGGACAAATCAGCTGAATAGCCAAATGACCCAAAATTTAAGCTCAGAAGAGGGATAGCTTCTACGTTTGACATTTACCAAACATCAGACCAAATGTCAAAGCTTTAGTAAAATTCATGGTAGCTAAAACATTTTTACTAATTCTTT